TAAGTTGACTATGGCCGAGCCCCTCGTACCTTCCCCCACCATTTGGATGCATTGGCTGTGGATGCATTGCAGAGTTTGTCTCCCAGCACATGTCAGAGATGTTGAAGTCACCCATAACTACCAGGACATGTTGTTTGGATACCCTGTCAACCTGTTCAAGGAGGGCAGCATCCACCTCTTCATCCTGGTCAGGAGGTCTGTTATCAGGCTCCAGCCACAATACTGTTTGGCTGATTTCGCACTAGAGCTGCCTTGATGTTGCGCTGCCGTTTGCCCCAATACTATTGGTCAATTTCACACCCGAAGCCACAGGGCTGCATTTTGACTCGCAGCTTTGCCCGATTTCCCCCGCAGTTTCTTGATCCTGTTTTTTGAGGATCTTAAAGGCCGGGCTCATTGCCACCGGACCCTGCCCACACACCTCCATATGCCGCCTGCCTGAGTGCCATTCCTTTGCCTACTTGTTGGCAAGCACTTCGTCTCCTAGTATCTGAGCTATCTGGACTGACATGAGTCAGAATGTGAAGAAAAGTGTAGGAAAGGGAGACTAGAAAGGGAAGACAGAAATGCAATATAACAAATAAGTTGCATCCAGCCACTTTCACTAAGGGCCAAACTAAATGTGACAGCATTCTTGTTGCCACTATGAGGACACCACTACCATCTTAAAGACATGTTCAAGTCCCAAACTAGTGTGGTGGTGGTGGGGAGTCTACACTGTAAGCCCAATCAGGATCAGGCCTTCATAACTTTTTAAAATTTCTCTAACCTGGTGGTGGCCAAGAGTACACAGTCATGTTTAGTTTACCTCTCAGAGTTCCTCAATTCCCCTCTGTTGTCAGATCCCTTCTGGCCACTGGCAAGGGATGGGGGGGGGTTAATGTTGCCAGATCCAGGTTGGGAATCTCCTGGAGATTTGGAGATGGAGCATGGGTAGGACAGGGGCCTCAGTCGGGGACAGTGCCATAGAGTCCATCCTCCAAAGCATCCATTTTTTTCCCCCATGGGAACCACTACCACACCACTACCACACCATCAGTATTGTCTGGCCCTGGGAAGGGAGAATGGCAGTGTCACGTCAAACTGAGAGCATTGAGTAAATGTACCATCTTGTAACGCCATCTTTATGGAAGATCAGACTCGAACAGCTAGAGCACTTAACTTGATGTAAATGTAGTAAGAATTTTATATGGTTTTAATTTGATTTATGTGAAGGTGTATGCCTAATTGTGAGCTGCCCTGAGCCCGCACAGCGGGGAGGGAGGGCTATAAATTGAATTTATAAATATGAATAAATAAAATAAATATATCTGTACTCTGGAAATGAACTGTAATTCCAGGGGATGCCCAGGTACCACCTGGAGGCTGGCGTCCGTACTACCGCCCCCAACTGCCTACAACTTTTGTCTGTGCAGATCCCCAACAAAGCTTCTCCAGGTGATCAAAGAGGAACTTTCCTTCCTTTTTCACCAGCAGAACTGCTGGCTGAATCCAACTGAATGTCTTATTTCACCTGAAAGGATGACCCCAGAAACTCAACAAGAAAGCCTATCAGCCTCTGCAGCATGAGGCACTCAAGGAGGCAATGGTCTGCCCTCTCCTGAAAAAACCAACTCTAGACCAAATTGGCCAACTATAGGCCAGTGTCCAATTTCCCCTATTTGGGCAAATTGATTGAGAGGGCGGTGGCGATACAGCTTCAGAGCTTTCTGGATGACACTTCTGTCCTTGATGCATTTCAGTCTGGCTTTCAGTCGGGTCATGGGACAGAGACGGTGCAGGTTGCCCTTACTGACGACCTCCGGAGGCATCTGGATTGAGGCGGTGTGGCAGCACTGTTGTTGTTAGATCTGTTGGTTGTGTTTGATATGGTCGACCACCAGTTGCTGACCCACCGCCTTGCTGATGTGGGGATACAACGGCTCGCTCTTCAATGGCTTGCCTCCTTTCTCCAAGGTCGGGGAAAGAGGTGATAGGGGAGGAGCAGTCCCGGAGGCACCCTCTTGAGTGTGGGGTGCCTCAGGGGGCAGTGCTTTCTCCGATGTTGTTCAACATCTACATGCGCCCCCTCACCCAGATTGCCAGGAGGTATGGGCTGGGTCGCCATCAATATGCAGATGACACCCAACTCTATCTGATGTTGGGTGGCTGGTCGGGCTCTGACCCAGAAGATCTGACCCAGGCATTACAGGCAGTGGCTGAGTGGCTCAGGCTGAGCCGGCTGAAATTAAACCCAGCGAAGACGGAGGTCCTCTGCTTGAGTTGAAACAGATCGGGGTAAGGGATCCCTCTCCGACTTTTGATGGGGTGCCTTTGGTGTCAACGTCAGAGGTTAGGAGCTTGGGAGTGCACCTGGATTCCTCCCTGACTATGGAGGCCCAGGTGGCAGCCACTGCCAGATCTGCATTTTACCATCTTAGGCTGGTTTAGCAGTTGGTCCCCTTCCTCGACTGCGATGATTTGGCTACAGTGATCCATGCAACGGTCACCTTGAGGCTAGACTACTGTAACGCTCTCTACATGGGGCTGCCTTTGGTGCAGATTCAGAGGCTGCAGCTGGTGCAGAATGCGGCAGCCAGGCTTATGTTGGGTCTCCCCAAGTGGGAGCACATCCGGCCTGGGCTGGAAGTGCTGCACTGGCTGCCAATAGCATACCGAATCCGTTTCAAAGTGCTGGTGCTTGCCTTTAAAGCCCTACATGGCCAGGGTCTGACCTACCTGAGGGACCACCTTTCCCCATATATACCCCCAAGAGCACTTCAGTCGGGGACACAACACTGCCTGGTGATTCCAGGCCCCCAGGAGGCAAGGCTCGCCATGACCATGGCCAGATCATTTTCGGTGGCGGCCCCTACCTGGTCGAACGAGCTCCCGGAGGAGATCAGGGTCCTGTGGGACCATATACAGTTCTGCAGGGCCTGCAAGATGGAGCTCTTTTGCCAGGCTTTTGCATAGGGGTCGCCACTGCCACCACCACCAATGCTGTGGATAACAATGGAGCTAGGGACGGCCCCAGGAAGACCACTTATAACACCACATGGCACCGGTACCACCAGACTTACTTGGGACCAACTACAAGATAAGATCACCCCCAAAGAACTGACTGTCACCATCAAGTTATTTATTTGGGGACTATCTTGTCTTCATGGAGCACTTTATTTTTATCTGTGTTGTTAAGGTTTTATTGCTTTTACTATGTTTTATCTGGGTTCTGCCCCTTGTAAGCCGCCCTGAGCCCACTTGCGGGGAGGGTGGGGTAAAAATGTCAAAAATAGTATAGATAGATAGATAGATAGATAGATAGATAGATAGATAGATAGATGATAGATAGATAGATGATAGATAGATAGATAGATAGATAGATAGATAGATAGAAGATAGATAGATAGATAGATAGATAGATAGATAGATAGATAGATAGATAGATAGATAGATAGAATACCATGCAGCTCACTATGTAGTAGAAGGCAACACCAATCAGCTGGTGTCATACCTATATTCTCAGTAGTGTTTGGAAATGTAATTAAAGAGGGGCAATTAGATTAAGGCAGCTACGATTCATCTCATGCATGGTTATGGATTCATTCTTTCAAACAAGTTTTAATGCAGCTCTACAAGATTTGTTCAGAATCAGCCCTCGGACTTGGCCTGTAGGCCCCAGTACATCCTAGATGCATCATTAGGCCTTAGAGCATATTGCAGTCCTCCAGGCACAGAGTAAGGTTAGAAAATGCCCCAAAACGTTTTCTTGGAGTATCCATGGAATGGCAATTGAGCAATGCAGCTCTTTTAAATATCTGGGAGTGAGACTTTAAGTTGGAAAATACATTTGGATACTGTTAAAGGTTCTACAAAAAAAAGAGTGCAATTCTGAAATTTCATCATACCAAAGGTGGATTCCTTGTAGAACCAGCGGCAAAATTATTTACTCATAAAATAATCCCCCATCTTCTTTATGGTGTAGAGGTCTGGGGCTGGAAGGACCACATAATCTCCAGCCTGGAATCAATTGAAAACTAATTCATCAGATGACTCCTTGCCCTGCCTAAGGGGACCCCTGTTCTTCTCTTTGAGTGTGGTTCTCCAACCAGTTCCCTATCCACCTAAATATCCTAGAGTCCAGTACACAGTCCTTTAGTTTACACATCAGAACATCACAGGGAACCCTGTCAAAAAACTTTACCGAAATCCAGGTAAACAACATCAACAGCATTCCCTTGATCCAGTAAGCTCATCACTTGATCAAAAAAGGAAGGGAGTTTGGTCTGGCAGGTGGCAAATGAGGTCTGATAGGTCTGGCAAATGAGGTTTACCCTGTAGGTGCTGCCAGTCTGAGGTATAGGAGCCCTCACCCCCACCATTTTCTTTCCAATTAATCGATTGCTCTTTCATAGAGCAATACTAATTTTCATAGCTGCTGAGAGTAAATGGACAATAAGTCTTCTTTGTGATCAATGTCCAGTCTATTGTAGCACAGCAAAACAGAAGCCCTCAGACACTACCAGCATTTATTACAGTACCAGCTTTCATGAGACAGAGCTCACTTCTATGGATACAAGTAGAAGAAACAAACTCCTGTACCTTATTATTACATGAAATTTCAAAAGTGGAGGGGGAAGTGGGAGGAGTTGTTTAGAGTCTTAAAAAGCAACAACAACTAATTCACTTCTCCATCAGTTCCAAAGTAGGTACCACCCAAGATTAAAAATGATGTAAAGGAGAACCACTCCCATAAAAATTTACAAATCCATTATAGGGTTGCCAGCCTCCAGGTGGTGGCTAGAGATCCCCTGGGATTACAATTCATGTCTAAGTGACAGAGATCAGTCCCCTTGGGGGAAATGTCCACTTTGGAAGGTGGACTGTATGACACTATACCCCACCGAAGTCCCTCACCTCTCCAAACCCCACCCTCCTCAGGCTCCAGCACCCAAATATCCAAGTATTTCCAACCTGGAACTAGCAATTCTGCTTATCGAACAACTTTGCTGGTGATGATTTTAGAAAAAATGCCCCAAACAGAAAAGCTTCATTAATGCAGTCTTGATCTCTTTGTTTCTCATGCTATAGATGAGTGGATTGAGCAACGGAGAGATGATAGTATATATCACAGCAAAAACTACATCTAGATGAGAAGAAGTATTAGTGGGAGGCCTTGCATAGGCAAAGATCCCACTGAATACAAGTAGAGATACCACAATGAGGTGGGGAAGGCAAGTGGAGAGGGCTTTCTTCTGGCCCTGAACAGAAGGGATTCTGAGCACTGCAGCAAAAATCTTCATATAGGTTACGATGATGAACATAAAGCATCCTAGCACAATGCTACAGTTAAGCACCAGAAGGCCAACTTCAACTAAGTACAAGTCAGAGCAGGCGAGCTTTAATAAATGGGGGACTTCACAAAAGAATTGATTGACCACATTGGAGCAGAAGGTAATAGAAAAAGTACCTCCAGTATGTAATGTAGCATTAAGAATGCCACTAACCCATGCACTGACTGCCATCTGAATGCAGGCTCCTCTGTGCATAATTAACTCATATAGCAATGGCTTGCAGATAGCGACATATCGATCATATGCCATTATTGTGAGAAGGGCAAGGTCAGAGGTTGCAAAGGCAAAGAAGAAGAAAACCTGAGCAACACATCCAGAATAAGAGATTGACCTGGTGTTCATGAGGGAATTAAACATAGCTTTGGGTACCATAACAGAAATGGAACCAATATCCATAACACCCAAGTTCATTAAGAAAAAGTACATCGGGCTGTGCAGGTGATGATCAAGAGTTACCAAAATGGTGATGAGAAGATTGTTGGTCACAGCTACCAAGTACAATCCTAGGAATGCAGAGAAGTGTAAAATCTGTAGGGTTCGGATCTCTGTAAATTCCAGGAGCAGAAACGTGGAAGTGCTGGTAATGTTAGGCATTTTGTCCTCAAAACTTTGATTCTTGGTATCTGTGAGACAAAGTAGTACCAATATTAATTCAAGGTTGATCAGAATTGCATATTCTGAGAATCTCAGTCCACCAAATAAACCTGTGTTGAATGAGAGGACACTTAACTTTATTAAGATTGCATCTACCATCTTTATCTCAACTTTCACAGACTGATCTCCACTAGGTTACACAGACCTATATGCATACCTGAGCAGGTATAATTTGTCTGATAATTCAATCAGGAATTATCACACATAGCACAAGGACAGCTACATACATTTAATTTGTGTGCAGTCAGAAATAAGCAATGCATTGCATGTGAAGGCACATTATCCCACAACCATACTTCGTTTATTTGAATTCTTCCAGTCTTTAAGAAATGACTTCAAGGGGATTCTTAAGCAAGGTTCCATCTAGTCCAGTACCTTGCCCACACTGGCAAGCCAGATACTTCTTGGAAACTCACCAGTGGGACAGGAAGGGCATAGTCTTCTCATCCTCTCCTGAGATGTATGCATATTTTATTGAATTACTTACATAGCTCATTTTTAAAATCCCACACTTCCTTCAAGGTTAAGGAACCATGATCTGGATAGCCCAGGCTAGCCTGATCTTGTCAGATCTTGGAAGCTAAGCAGGGTCAGCCCTGGCTAGTATTTGGATGGGAGACCTCCAAGGAATACCAGGGTCACGATGCAGAGGCAGGCAATGGCAAACCACCTCTGAAAGTCTCTTGCCTTGAAAACCCTACGGGGTGGCCATAAGACCGCTGTGACTTGACAGCATTCTCCACCACCATCATTCAAGGAGCTCAGGGTGGCACAATGGTTCCCTTCTCCCATTACTAACAGTACTGTGTGATAAATTGTTTGAGAGAGAAAGACGGGCTGACTCCTGAACATTCAATTTAGTTATAATATCTAATAGTCAGCAGAAGACCTATCTTCCCTAATTTTATCTAATCCCATTTCACAAGTAATTACTCTTGTGGCTAGCAAAACATCTTCTGGTGAAGAATTCCAAAATAAATGATGTAATTAGAGAAAAAATGTTCTGTTGTTTCCTCTGTATCTATTGATAGTCTTTCTCTTTGGCAGAACCCAAATTCTAGTGTCACTCAAGAGGGAGAACTTTTTTTTCTCTCCAGTCTCTCCGCAGTCTCTCTTCTTTTCATTCTTTCCCCTAAATTAAACAGCTACAAATACTTTAGCTTTTCCTCATGTACAATAAATTTCTTCTGTATCTATTGATAGTCTTTCTCTTTGGCAGAACCCAAATTCTAGTGTCACTCAAGAGGGAGAACTTTTTTTCTCTCCAGTCTCTCCTCACTCTCTCTTCTTTTCATCCTTTCCCCTAAATTAAACAGCTACAAATACTTTAGCTTTTCCTCATGTACAATAACATTAATGTTGCCTTTTCTGTGGGTTTTTCCAGCTCTGTGACAGGGTAGCTAGAACTATACACTAGATCTATACACAGTATTACTCACTCACCATAACCCCAAAGCCTTTTCTCCATTTCAAAAGACCCTTCCAGTTATGTGGAAGTTGAGACAATAAGAATGCAGTCCTAGAAGTAAGTCCCAATGAATAAAATATGACAGACTTCTGAATAGAACTGCTGAGAATTGTTCCCAAATTGTCCCCAAAACCCATGTGTACGTCAGTTTGCATGTATTTACACTGAATATCCTTTGTTGCATTGATGCCCAATCACCAATTTCAAAATGATACTTTTGGAGTATCCTTGGATTTTCACCATCCTGGCTAATTTGGAGTCCTGTGCAAATCTAATTCATAGCTTAGTCCTGATTTAGAAAATACATACAGCCAAAGATCTTCTCAAGGCAAATAACATAACTCACTTTAAATGAGAATAAAATACTAAATTGCACCGTAAACATCTTGCTGGCAGGTTGGCAGGGGAGGTGGGCTGAGCAGCTGGTCTTCTGTTGATGGACACTTGGTAGTTGGCTGGCAGGAGCTCCTCACATAGGCAAGGGTCTGGTGCTGAGCAATGAGATCTTCATCAGCAACCAGTCTTCCCTTGGCTGGCAGTTGGTGTCTGATCACTCAAGAACAATTTAGATAATGCTCTATTTTTACCTATCAATCATGTACTAATTCTTATATCAGTCTTATCCCATGATTACTAAGTTGTATGCTTTGTGTTTGGGCTTTAGTAAAGCTTTTTTGAGATGTCAGATTATACAGGATTTACCAGATCACCTCAACACAAAAGTCAATATGCCACAAGCACAATGCACAGGATTGGAACCAGCCACTTTTTTTCCCACTCAGTCTCATTCAAATCCCCTTCTTACTGCAGCCCCCATCCCATATGGCATCTGCCCATGAAGATCTCATGAACCCAGCATTTTGGGTGATTGAATGAGAACTCACATTCTACTAGCCAAATAGCTGGTTTGGTGCACTCAAAGGGCTAGAAGATTAGAATGCAAACAGATGAGTGCAACAACAGGACAACTGGTGAATCCATAGCAGAGAACTCATTGTCCATGTACAACAGTTACCTATCACTTTTTCCTACCTGCACACACACATGCACACACAAGAAACCAGGGAAGCCATTCCCTCCTGATCACAAAGAGAACTTTCAGGTTAATCAATGTCATGACAAGCATTTCTTAACAGCACCACTGATGGTGCAACTGACTTACTGGGGCATGCACCAGCTATTTCAGGACTGGAGACATACTAATCCAAAAAGGCTCAGCAAAAAAGAATAATTTGGGATGGACTATATACTCACCTTATTCTTTCACATCGGCACTGATGTTGCAAGTCAAGGAAAATCAATCCTCCGCTCTGAACATGTGGGCAGCAGATAGTTAGGTGATCACTATCGGACCATGGCTGACAGCAAATCTTAGCCTTATTGCCCATCTTCCCCATTCATTCTTTAATTCAGCTGACTGACTTCCTTATATGTAAATTGAATGTTTGTGCCGATTCCTGAACATTGATCCTCCTCAACTATGACACAGATATGGAGATGGATTCAAAGAAGGAATTAAGTATCCCATGCATGGTTGTATGCCAGCTGAAATATTAAAAGTTTAAACAATTTGCCTACAGGCTGGGAAGTAGAACTTGTGGCTCTGAGAGTTCAGAAAAGGTCCCAAGCCAAGAGAACTCTCATACTCCGTCAGAGCCTAAGTGGTGAATCCCACAGTTTAACATGCATCCAATGAACCAATTCCCCTGGCACAGGAAAGTGATAACATTCAGAAAGACTGTTAGATAGGTAAGAAGAAAGGAAACATCAAACAGCCTTTTTCGAGACAACAGCACAGAAAAAAGGAAAGAATAACACCCAGAACAAATCAAGACTTAGAAGTTTAAATTTAAGAATCAGTTTGTTTTTTGAAGGTTAAAATGTAAACAGTTTTCCCCCCAGCCCATTCCCACAAGCTTCTCCTGGAACTTGCCACAGTACATGTGTCAGATTCCTGTCTAAACCTGTCTTAGAAAGGCTCGATGTGTGAGAAGATTAATTTGCAGTCTGTTCCACCTGCTTCACAAATTGCTCCCCTAAGTCCTATGTACCTGATGGGAAATACAGATCCCGCCCTCCCTCTGCTGTATAGTTGCATATATTTTTGTAACTTTTTTGAATAAATAATTCAAGACCAAACTTGGTATCAAAAATTCCTGATTTCAAATAAGGTATCAGAATGTGAAATAAGGCGTATGAGGAGGATGACAGATGACATAATTTACATTGAATAAGACTGATTTCCCACAAGCCGCTGCTCCACCCTCGCTCTCCCCTTTCCCCCAATTGCATGTGTCAATTTCCCACATTTGACCGGCAGCTTCAGCCGATTACTCCCACCTCTTCTCAATCCTCAACAAATAGGATCGAGAAGACACGGGAGAAATCGTCCGAAGGTGCGGGTCAAAATGCGGCCACACAGCAAATAGTGAGAAATTGATGCATCCAGTCGGGGGGAAAGGAAGAGCAAGGGCAGAGCGGTGGATTGTGGAAAATCGGTCTGAGTGACATGACAATTCCCCCCCCCAAAAAAAGACAATTTTCTATACCACAATGAGTGACCCTACATGACTATCCTTAGAAGTACAGTAAACATGTTGAGTTGGATTGGGAAAAATTATAGTAAACCTGGGGAAGCTTCAAAGCCAGTGTAGCAGATGACTAGAGTGTTGGACTAGGATCTGAGAGACCCATTTTTGAATCCCCACTCTGCCATGGAATGGAAGCTTGCTGGGTGACCTTGGGCCAGTCACACACTCTCAGCCTAACCTACCTCACAGGATTGCTGGCAGGATAGAATGGAGGTGGGGAGGATTTTATAAGCCACTTTGGACCCCCATTGACAAAAAGTGGGGTCATTTCGAGGGGGAACGAGCAGGAACGGTGTTCCGGGAGTAAAAAGCCCAGGAGTAGGGAACCCAGGCATGCTTGCATGCTGCCCTTTGCTTCCCCAGCCAGTCTGCCATGGCAGGTTGGCTGGGGAAGGGAAGGGCAGGCAGGCAGACATGCCCCCATCTTCCCCTGAGTGTTTCCACTTTTACAGAGAAACTCGGGGAAGTGGGGGGGATTTAAAGGCCTTTCTTTCCCTTCCCCATCTGGGGAAGGGAAAGAAAGGCATTTTAAACATGCCCGCCCTTTGTCAGGTGGTGTGGCATATGCAAATAAGTTATGCTAATGAATTATGCTAATGAGCTCCTGCACCACTTTTTCTACGAAATGACCCCTGGTATGACTAATAACTGGATTCGTTCCTTGGATACTGGATGAACATGCAGAATGCAGGGCAAATTTTCAGGAAAATTCAGGTCTAATCCAGTAACATGAAGAACTGTAGGTCCCAACACACCCCAGATGCATTAATCAGAAGTCTGTGGCAACTGCAGTTTCCTTCTAGGCAGAGAGTAGATTCTCATATAATGAAAGGTTAAGGCTAGCAATTGAGGACTGAGAAAGCTCTAGGCCCTAGCATAACTCCAATGGTATTTAGGGTTACCAGGTGCCCCCTGGCCACCAACAGGGGGTGAGAGGGTAGGGTTGACAGATACAGGTTGGGAAACGCCTGTAGATTAGTGGACGGAGCCTGGGGAGGACAGGGACCTTGGTGGAGTACAATGCCACATGGTCCACCCTCCAAAACATCCATTTCACCCCCAAGGGGAACTGATCTCTCTACTCTGGAGATGAACTATAATGCCAGGAGATCCCCAGGTGCCACCTGGAGGCTGGCATCCCTACAGCCCCTGATTGCTTACAGCTTTTGTCTGTGCAGAACCCCAACAGAGCTTCTCCTGGTGGACAAAGGGGACCTTTCCTTCCTTTTTCACCAGCAGAAATCTTGGCTGAATCCAACTCAATTACTTATTTCACCTGAAAGGACGACCCCAGCAATTCAACAAGAAAGCCTCTCAGCCTCTGCAGGAAGATGCTGTGCAGCTGGCTATCAGTAAAGGGCAACACACATCAGCTGGTGTCATACATATATTCTCAGTAGTGCTTGGAAATGCAATCAAAGTGGGGAAATTAGATTAAGGTAGCTAGGATTTATCTCATACATGGTTATGGATTCATTCTTTTTCATGTATTTTTATTTCAATTTTATAAGACAAAAAGAAACAAACATACATTAATACACATAAAATGGAGATTCTATCATTTTACCCCTTTTTTTTGATATCTTATTAGGGTCTAAAAAAATTTCTTACTTTTTCCCACCATACATTTTATCAGTAGTTAAGTCTATAATTCTTAGTTCCTTAGTTTTTTTTTTTGTTTCAGTAGAGGTTAGATGTGCAGGAATTTTAGTTATTATATTCTTCAATCCAATCATAAAATCTTGACCATGTGTTTTCAAAGTCTTCTTTGATATTTCCTCTTAATATCATAGTCAATTTGTCCATCTCAGCAGTTTCCAATATTTTGACTACAGCTTCTTCTTTTGTAGGTACTTCTGCTCTTCTTCAATATTTTGCATATAACATCCTTGCTGCTGTTAGGATATGTATAGTAAAATAGCAGTCTTGTCTCTTATAATTTTCTGGCATTATATTCAACAAAAAACAGTTCTGGTATATAAGGCACAGTGATTTTCAACATTTTTTGTAACAGTTCCTGTATCCAAGACCAATACTTTTTATTTTTCTCAATGGAGAGGCTGAGAAGTGAACTTGCAGACAATGCAGACACTCGTTTACTGTGGCCCTGGCCCTCTCCGGGGAAGAGAGCGGTTTTAGCGCAGGGCTCAGAGCATCACTAAAGATGTAAGTTGCTCTGCTGCAAGGGCAATATGAGAACTGACTGGCCTGTCCCGAGTCCATGGAAAAAGTCTTCCGCCTGCCCCATCGTCTAGCCCTTTGGAATGGAGATGCTGGGAAGTGCACCTGGGACCCTCTGCAGACAAAGGGTGATACGGAAACCAATCAGACTACCCTGAGATGATTTGGGGTCCACCACCAGGCCAGAGGAGTGTGTCTGGCCCATTCCTATCTGGCCCTCGACCCCTTTCTGGCTCGAGTTACGAGGAGAGCACCAGCCCCCAGCTGCAGCCAGCCATGGCCCTCTGGTAAATGGAACCTGCTGGCAGCTGTGGCCATCTGCTCCCCAGGCACCATATCGCTGGCAGGGTATGCAGCCTCCCACTATTGGAGGCAAGGCATGGGGAGGCCTCATCCACTACTGCAACCCACCATATGACCGCCTGGTGAGGCAGTGACCTGCTGTGGTGGGGAGGGCTCTCGCAAAAAGTGAGATGGCATGGCAGGGAGGCAGGCACCAGCCAGCAAGCGGGGGTGGCAGAGGCCTGCAGTCGCCTGACGTATTGGCAACCTGCCAAGTGGGGGGGAGTGCTCACCCCGATCAGTGAGCTAGTGTGGCAGGTAGGCAAGCACCAGCTGCCAGCCAGCTGGCTGCCGTGGCTCACACCCAAAATCCAAAGGGAGGCTTGGCTGGAATTACCTACAAACACTGGCTGCCAACACCCAGGGACTTTCCCCCACTGATGAAATGTGCCTGCAGCCAACCCAGGTGTTGTGTACTAGGTTCAACACATGGAGAAGCTGGAAACTATGTGATTAGCAGCTCATGGTTTATTGGTACACAACACACAACAACTTTTACCAGCTGGAGCGGCCAACTATATACAGTCCCTGGGGCACCCCACCAGTCCTATTGGAGGTTTTGAACTTCCTGCCACAGTTCTGATAGGTGCTCACAGGATCCTAGCCCCTATTGTTCTTTAGGAGCCAAGCTCGGGTTGCATACTGCTGTTGCCTAGTGGCAGTCAACGGATATAACACCAGGACCTCCTGCACACACACCCCGGCTGATCCAAACCCCAGCTAAGTTTGCTGTGGGATCATCCAGGTAATTGTCGCTCCACATGTTGCCCAGACACACAGTTCCATCTTCTTCTGAGCTTGTGCTGGGCTGATCTGAGGAGCAAGGGCAGCTGCCACCAAACCCTGGCCAGTGAGCTAGCCCTCAATTGGCCAGTGCTCCCCCGCTGACCAATAATTGGCTACCCCCACACTCATACTTCCTCCAAAAGAATGGGGGGCAGGCAAATGCCAGCACCCACTCCCGGGGCAGGCACCAGTCTTTGAGTGGTGGTGTAGTGATCTCTGACACAGGCAGAATTATTGGTTTGGGATTGTGATGAAAGATGCCTTCCATTGGAGCTAGAAGACCTTATGGGATCAAAGCTGGAGGGTGACCTCAATATCTTCCACCTCCTAATTGCAATTATGTGTTTCAAACCATGTTTGTTCCAAGTGGGAACTCAAACTCCAAGCTTCAAAATTTCCATCCTCACAGTTGAGTACTGAAAGAAAGGGGGGGAGGAGTCCAAAGCTCACCAACTTCTGCTTGTGCTTCACAGATTTAAAAAAAATCCACCAAACCATATTATTTTATATTGTGTATATCCCAAATTACAATGTTGATAAAGAAAATCGCCCAGAAAAGATAATTCAACACCATTTTCCAAGAAAAATTTGGCTGGAGCTGATTTGGGGAAATTGTCCAAAACCAGTGAGCTTCAACAATGCAATCTTTATGTCTTTGTTTCTCATGCTATAGATGAAGGGATTGAGCAATGGAGGTAATATAACATAGATCACTGCAAAAAGGATATCAAGATCAGATGATGTTTTTGCAGGAGGCCTTAAGTATGCAAACACTGCAGTGACAACAAGCAGAGACACCACAGTGAGGTGGGGAAGGCAAGTGGAGAGGGCTTTTTTCCGACCCTGCACAGAAGGCATTCTGAGTACAGTTGCAAAAATCTGCATGTAAGTTATAATGATATAGATAAAACATCCTCCAACTAAGCTGCAGCTAAACAGAAGAATTCCAATTTCAATTAGATATAAGTTTGAGCAGGAAAGTTTTACTATTTGTGGAACTTCACAGAAGAACTGATTGATTATGTTGGAGCAGAAGGTGATGGCAAAAGTGCCACTGGTGTGTAAAGTGGCATTAAGTATACCGACAAACCATGCACTGGCTGCCATTCGAATGCAGGCTCCTTTATGCATGATTGTCTCATATTGCAATGGACTGCAGATAGCAACATACCGATCATGTGCCATTACTGTTAGGAGGGCAAAATTTGACCCTGCAAATAAGACGTAGACAAATACTTGAGCCACACATCCTGAATAAGAAATGGACCTGGTGTTCAGGAGGGAATTGGCTATAGCTTTAGGTACCGTGACAGAAACTGAGCCAAGGTCCAGGACAGCCAAGTTCATGAGGAAGAAGTACATGGGGGTGTGGAGATGATGATCAAGAACTACAGCAATGATGATGAGAAGATTACTAATCACTACAGTTGCATATACCGCTAAGAAGACAAAGAAATATAAGATCTGTAGTTCTCGGATGTCTGAAAATTCCAGGAGCAAGAATTCAGATGTGGAGGTAAAATTCAGCATTTTGCTCTCAATATCCAGTTGCAGGGTACCTGTAGGGTTGAGTGGAGGAAATGTTTTAGAGAACAATCCTCAGTAGGTCTCCTCGAAATTACTACACTGGCTAATTAAATGGTGTATGCCCCCCCCATCAGAATAACGAGACAGACAACGGTTTGGAAGTAAACAAGGGCCACTTTATTAACTATTTAACATAACATCCGGTCTTGAGCCATTGGTCTGAAACCCCTGAAACCTTCCAACGTGCAGAGAGGAGCATACCCTAAGAGGTTCCCAGAAGAGGTGATCACTGTTCCCCACCCTGGACCTTAGAAATACGAAGGCAGCTCCTGATGACCAGTGTTCCCTCTAAGCTGAGTTAGTGTGAGCTATCTCACAGTTTTTTAGCCTCCAGCTCACACATTTTTGTCTTAGGTCAGGAAGGATGGCTCCAGATCAAACTGATTTATGCAGTAGCCAAATCGCTGGTTCACAGCTTTAATGCCAGTTGCTCACAAAGTAGAATTTTCGCACACAAGACTCCACAGCTTAGAGGGAACATTGCTGATGACCCCCTGTTCCCTAATGGGGAAAATGCTGTATGGTGCTCACCAGTTCCGGTTTCTTGCCCACATCAACCTGCTACAGCCAAGACCAAGCCTCTGCTTTGGTCTTTGCTCCCCACTAAAAGCCCAAGACTGATCTAATCCCTTGGAGCAACTCCTGCAAAAATAACCTAATTGCTCTTGTTTGATAGGTACACCCTGTCAGCCCTATACAGGTCCTGGAACTCAACTGTCCTCCATGTGCTCCCACATCTGGCGGGTGGCTGTACGCCTAGCGGGGGTCTCCAAATTGCACCATACTTGGCAGGGCAAAATAACCAACCCCACTATCAGCACTACTGGGCCACCTTGCTCTTATCATCACAAGGTCAGCTTCCGCTTGTAACACCAGGGCCTTGCCCTTCATGGTGAGTCAGAATAGCCAACCAGAGTATCTGCACTCTGGGCCACCTTGCTCTTATCACCACAAAGTCAGCCTCCACTTGTAGCACCAGGGCCCTGCCCTTCATGGTGAATCAGAATAGCCGACCAGACTATCTGCACTCCAGGCCACCTTGCTCTTACCATCTTAAGGTCAGTCTCCACTTGTAGCACCATGTCTTTGCCCTTTGTGATGACGCAGAATAGCCAACCAGACCATCTGCACTCTGGGCCACTGTGCTCTTATCATCGCAAGGAAAGGCCCTACTCGCCCAGAGCGGGCGCTAATTTCCACAAATAGGTGCCTGATCAGTGGAGTTCCATCCACGTTCCTAAAGCAGTAACTGTCATCCCAACTTGAAGTGCAGCAACACCTCAGGTTCCAAAAATTGACCCTTATTTCACTGCCAGATAAATGGGTTGCCTCTGGTCCTCTAGAGCTCCCTTTCCCCAATACCTTCATAGAATGCTTTAGTAATTCCACTACATTCACAAAGCAATGTTTACATCGCACAGTAATTGTGATTTGCAAGGCACTGCCCAATGTTCTTAGGGCTTATGTTTACACTGATCAAATGAAATAAATTACTGATATTCCTGGGTAGCAAAGGAAGCCCGCTCCCTTTAAAGGGATGTCAATTATCCAGTGATGTTATTTACCTCCATGCCATGAAAAACTACAGCTGTGTATTTCCACGCATTAAGTCTCCATTAAACAGACAAGACTTTTTCCCTTTGGATCTTCTGGCAACCCTGCACCCTGAAAGATAGGAAACTGAGGCCTGGAATTGTCACTGGCTAAAGTCTATATCAGAAGAGAACATCTCCAAGTCCCCTGATCTAGTCCCTGATCCCCTGGATTGTCAAACTGTGGAAACAACACTAGAGGAGATCTGGATCAATTCTCTTAGTGCCTTGGCGCTCTTAAAGAATTTTCCAACGATTACAAGCAGACCTGAACAGGGAGGCGTCCATTGTTTTAAAAATCAAGGTACTGCCCCAATAAGCATTTTGAAATGCTTCTAGGTATATGAAATGCTTCTTTAATAACCACTAAGAACCATCATAGCCAACCGGTGAGTTCGGCTTTAAAAATGAGATATTGCCAATTTACAATGTGGTGTCACTTTAAAAACCTGTATAATTTAATTTTGTTTGCTTGTTTGGTGTTTTAATTATTTATTTATTCTAAAAAACCTTACCATGAAGAGAGCACAGCACCTCTCATTTCTTAATAGAAACTGGGTTCCTATCCTAAAGACCAGGACAAGCACACAGAAATGTGCACTGGCTCCTTCTTACCATTCGATGTATGCACATACGTGCAGGCTGTATGCACACTCGCCATAATGTGAAGATGGCTCTAGTGGCCCCTATTTACCTGTATGTAAGTAAGGTTGGGCTGCCAGGTCTAGAAGTAGTTTCATTTCTCCCAAGTGCATGGGCAGAACAGCCGTCTGGCTTCCCAAGCCATGCTGATTCTCTGATGGGTCCTGCTTAACCCTTGCCCCACTGGAACCTCCCTGGAAGCCATCTGCCTAATTTCCTATTGCCGTGGCTGCACCGACGCATCCCAGCCGGCACCTCCCACAGCCTGTCATAACCAATGCCACTCATCTAGGCCCTGGCAGCACACTGGGCTTCCGCTTAAAGAGAAATGCATTATTAAACCTGTGAAGAATGCTCATTAGGACCAAACCAATGACATGTAAAGACATGCCAGCTGTCAGATTCCCAGATCACAGCGTCAGATTGGAAGTCACACTGTATCCCTGCTGAAACAGAAAACATAAGGTACAAATGACGTATTGCAATGGATATTATGAATGCTAACACATGACAAAGACTAACCTAATTTTGCCAACTTAGTGTGCATTCACACTGTCAAGGTCACATGTAGATGATAAGGATTCCTTCACAGAAGGAAACCATTAGAAGATCAGTTGTTTTCCATTCAAATTACACTTGATTTCACCCACACACACTGAGTGCCCAATTGAGCTACCCCGTTCCTAGTAGCTGTTCCCATTGGCTGCACTCCCACACCAACCTAAGGAAGAGGGGAGCGTGGGCATGTGTGTGTGTTTAAAAAATAACACAAACCGGTGGGGCCACTGCTGAGCTTCTGCTGCCTCGAATATCTGGCAGGTGCCGAGGTCCCAGGATTGGGCCATGGCTGCAACAGACCAGACCACCGTCAAGGCTGTGTCAGCTGCTACCACAGCCCCGCTGCCTAGATTGCTGACGTGGCCTCACCACCCGGACTGCTGATGCGGCCTCGATCCTCCAGCTGCCTGAAGCCTGCTGCCATTCTGAGCTCGCCGCCACCATCAGGAGCACACCGCCACCGACAGAAGCCCGTGGCAACAGCAGTGCACCGCCGCTGGGTCTCCCTGCCACCGCAGAAGTCTTCCCACCATTACCTGCTGCTGACCTCAAGCCCAAGGCCTCAAGATAAGCAAGCAGCGAAGTCCTTGTGCTCCACTCTCAGGAGCACATCGGAGCAACTGTCATTGGGCAGGAGTAGAGCCTGGCTGTTTATCCTAGCCGGCTCCACCCCCTGCCCATGTCATGATGCCTGGCATTGTGGCTCTGTTGCTGCCTGGCTTCCTAAGGGCGGCAAAGCAGCCCCCAGAAACCAGCAGCGTTGCCTGGGAAGTGTTCTGATTGCACTGTTAATAAATTAACATAAGTGAATGGTTATTTAGGATTCTTTGTTTGACCATCTCAGCCTGGTAGCTAACCTTGTGTTGAATAAACAAAGAATGGGAGAATGCACATGGCCAAACTGCACCGGTGATCAACACCTCTCTGGCTGTCCCCTCCCTCCCCATGTTTGTTTGCTGAGAGCTAGTCTTCTAAAACTTCCATGTCCATAGACTCTGGAAACTTGACTTGGAACTATACCAAACCTCATAGAAGGATTCCTATCCAACTTGTGCATGCATAGGAAGGGACAGTGGACAGTTTCCTGATCCCTTATCCATCTCCTCATGTAAAGGCTGTTGTTACATGGACAATACCTCCCACCCCCACATGTGATGAGACTTTTGGGAGTCCCCTCCCTTGAAGTCCTATATTCCTGACAGACTGGACAGGGGAAACTGGCCAATAGGGTCCTTCTTTTTTTTAGACTAGTTTTTCAGCAATTAATTAAAATTATAGGTGGAAATTGTACGCTGACGGAGCCTTAGAGAGCCTTGGGGCCCTGTTGTTAAGGCCTTTCTTTGATGCCTGAGAATTACTTTAACTCTACCTGGCTGATTCTATGAATTCTATGAATGCTGCATTCCCCTCTTAGGGTTTCCAAATGATCAATTTCACCCCATATTAAAGCAGGTATCCTGGATCACCCAGAGAAGCACCACTTTAATCATGTCTCCACCAATCCACCCTACTCAGTTGTCATCTGAATTTTGTCAGTCTAGTTCCCCACATCAATTAAACCTCAAAGGTGACCCACTGGTACTTCTAACCCAAACCAGATATTTCCCCCTATCTCCAGATTCCTACTCCAGTGGTCCTTAAGCCCAATGGTAATAAAAGGGCTCTTTCACCCAGCAATTCAGATTCAAACATCCTTGAGAACCAAGGACCATTCCCAAAGACCATCTCTCACCCACTAAGGAATCTCATACCACATAACCCTCCATTCCTTCTAATCCAACAACAAAAGTATATTCTATTTATATTCTTCCTTTTACCCCATTAGACAGCAAGAACCATCCCCTTAGAGTATGTTTTGCTATCCAGCTATGAAGTTTTGAATATGCTCTGTCTCTCCACTTTTCTTTAGGTTGCCCATTTTATTCTAATTAAATGTATATGTTTTGAATGTCCTTTGTGGATGCACATGAAAGCTTGTACCCAAAATTAAACTTTGTTGGTCTTAAAGGTGCCACTGGACTCAAACTTTGTTTTATTGCTTCATACCAACATGCCTACCCACCTGAAACACACATGGCTCTATGAGTAAATAGAGAAAATCTGGCACCAATCACTCCAGGAGCAATTCTTCTAACACTCTGAGGTAATTTTAATTTAAAGAATTATTTGTGAGTAATGAAACACTTCCAAATAACACAGCAAATCATTGTCGAAGATTGTAGAAGATACTTCACCTTTGAAACTGTGCTACAATCATTCTACACTCACACACCGATTTTCCAATATATTGAATACCTTGGAGTCCTGTTTCTTCTCCAGACCTTTTCATCTTAGATTCCCTGTCTCCATTTCTGCTGAAGTTCTGTCATCAAATATTCTTTATTCTTGATGTGGATGTGGACCAGTGAATAAATAACATTAATTAAGATTTGTGGCAAATGAGAGAAGGTCTGCTTCAGTTTCTTGTTCAGCTGTTTAAATACATGTATCCACTTGCTCTGGCCATTCCCTGGATGACTTGTTACAATGGAGTCTGCTGATTTCCGTCAAATCACAATAAAAAAGGCTGCGTGAGTAAGAGAGAGCTGTTCTTGGCAACTTGCTCCCAGGAGTTCTCCTCACTTAACTGCCAAGTGCTGCTGAAATCTTTTCCCTCTGCTGTATTCTTTTTTTCCTATTTCTGTAACTATCTTAAATAGATCATTAGTGCAGCAAGCCTGTGCATGACGTAAGACCAAATGCATCTAAGCAATGCATTAGAGTCCTTCCATTTTGCCACCACGCACCCAAAAGAAAGATCCCACAACAGATTTGGAGTTAGGCTTAGGTTTATTAAAATTTTAAGCTGAAGTGCATAAACAGATTTTTTTTAAAAAAGCAACAAACATTTTTAGGGACCTTCTTTGAGTCTCCGAAGATTTTTGCCAATGGCTGGGCAGATCACAGTTTTTCCAAGCTTGCCTTGGTATTCTCATCACACTAGGGTCTCATCACATTGGGGGCGATTTCTCACTAGAGCTGCCTCACAGCACAGCCGCCGTTTGCCCCAAAACAAACATGTCAATTTCACACCCGAAGCTCCAGGGCTGCATTTTGACTCGCGGCTTCACCCAATTTCCTTCGCAGTTTCCTGATCCTGTTTTTTTAGGATCATGAAACTGCGGAGGAAATCAGGCGAAGCCACGGGTCAAATGCAGCCCTGCAGCCTCGAGTGTGAAATTGTCATGTTTGTGTTGGGGCAAACGCACTGCACTGCGAGGCAGCTCTAGTGAGAAATCGCCCTGGTATTCTCATCATCACAGTATCATAATGCTCCTATATAAATCGACCTCATTTGGAATACTGTGTGCAATTCTGGTCATCACACCTCAGAAATGATATTGTAGCATTGGAAAAAGTGCAGAAAAGGGCAAGTAGAATGATACAAGGTTGAAACACTTTCCCTATGAAGAAAGGTTATAGTGCATGGGGCTCTTTAGCTTGGAGAAATGACAACTGAGGGGTAACATGTTAGAGGTTTACAAGATTATGCCTGGGATAGAGAAAGTAGAGAAAGTAGTACTTTTCTCCCTTTCTCACAATACAAGAACTC